CTGCCCCCCCCCCAAAAGGGGAATCAAATGAGTTTTTTCTTGGTGTTTAGTTGAAATTAGAATTTCCTAGGAAATGAAACCTGAGGGTCTGGTTCACTTTTGTCAGGCTGAAAGATGGCTCTGCAGATACCTCACTAACAACTTACTGAGAGGCGGATGCATGAAAGTAGAAGCAAGACAGATGCAGGGAATTACAAACAGTTGTGACGAGTGAAATGTCAGTGACTGTGAAGTTTTTGGAGCGCTTTCAGTTCCCTTTTGGTGTTCAGATAAGGATAGAGGGACACTTCAATGACTGATCTGAGTGAGTAACAGAGTTTTCTTGGCGAGCACGTTATGAACAACTGTGCTGCCACAGTATCTGCGGATCTTCTGTGGAGCCTTGGGCTGTGCGGCAAGAAAAGTTTTCTTGCCGTGCAGTACTTGTAGGTTTGGTAGATGGGAGAAAGCAGAGTTTTGACTGCTCTACAAGCAAAAAAAGGATGAAGTGGCTTGCCCTGTCTGCAGAACAGTGCCAGGTTCTGGGAGCAGCAGCAGGCCTTACAGCCCTGCCTGGCCTCATCCCACCCTGCCCACCGCCCCATTTCAGGCCCTGGGGCCGCCATCCCCTGCCCCAGCGATGCTGCAGCAGGGCCAATCTGCAGCTCCCCACAGCACTGCCCTGCCCAGCCAGCACCATGGTGCCCATCCCCAGAGAGATGCCCGATGCCTGGGGCTGTCCTGCTCCAGGCTGGAGAGTGGGATGGGCCCTGGCTGCCAGGCCCTGCTGCCCTGAGCCCTGCCATGGGCAGCCCCTGGCCTTTGCAGTGCCCTGACAAAATGGCTCCTGAAGAATTGTTGCTGCTTCCAGCTTTTTTCACAACGCTCATGGTAATATAAACCAAAACCACCTGTTGTTTTTCCAGGCCTTGGGGAGACAGAGATAAATAGTAAAGGGCAAGCGAGTGACCACAAAATGTTTAAAGGTGCGTGATAAGCCGGGCTTTTGCTATAAATCAGTGTTGTTCTAGGGCAAGTGGAAAAAGAGAAATGAAAGCTAAGTTTGACAAAACAGCTTGTGTGAATTAAAGGAAGAAAACATTTCAATTTCTAGAGGTACTAAAGTAGTTATTTTCCTCCTCATACTGAAAATACAGTTTCAAGGGAGAGTGTAGGCAGCAGGCTGTGAAAGCAGCCATACAGATAACAGAGCCATTGCCCTGACCCAGCACCATGCC